CCCCCTGACAGCCTCCCCTCTCATCACCTGGCATGTGCCATCTTAGTCATCCCAGCTCTCCCACCTGCCCCACCCCAACTCTGAAATATCCTTTCCCTATCTTTCCCTCTCCTTCTTTTCTCTTCCTCTTTCCTTTTCTCTCTTGTCACTACCCCCTTTCACAGTCTCCCGTTTTATCACCATCTTAGCGGCTCCAATCATCCCAGCTCTCCCACCTGCGCCAGCCCTCCTTTTTTGTCCTCTGATTCCTCTTTGATTTGAACCTGCTATGTCTCCCACATGCCATCAATGGGCTCGGTGTGTCATGCCTATATACATCATGATTCATATCGCAAATTCAATGCATATATGATGGCACACACAAAAAACACATCTGAGTGTATATGATGGCTCCTCACAATGTGCCATCTATACGGTCAGAAGCCCTTTCATATGCCGCTCCGCAGGAAAAAGTAGCATATGGAGCACTTTTACTTGTGCCATCTTTTGGTAGGGGGGTATATATATATATATACTGCATCCATGAACCCTAGTGGCCCTAGCACTTGGTCGTCGACTGTGGGCAAATGAGAGAATGAGAGAGACCCAGGGCGGGCATGCTGATGCTGAGTCTGCTCAATCATGGCCGCGATGTCGCAACGGCCACCATTGAGTCACATCAACCACAAAAAAAGCTCAGCGCTTAAGCTGGATTGCTTATCCAGTGTCCATTAATTGGCATTCAACCCCACCCTTCTGCAGTCCTACAGGTCCTTACTTGATGACTCTGTGAGACTCTATGTCTATGTCTCTAAGGTGCCCGGCGGCTACCTAGATCCAGCAAACCTCAGCTTGCGACTTGATGCTCCAAATCGACAGCGATTTCGGCTGAGAGCGTGCTTTCCAACCCCAAAGCCATGGCGCGTGCAGCCATGAGCACATTGGTCAAACTAGTCCAACTCGCCCAGGAGTCGCAACGTTCAAAGTGCTGGCTCCAGCTGTCTTAGGTACTGGCCGGGGCTGGTGTTCACCTCAACTTCCGAAAACCACCACTGCTCCGCAGTACGTGCCCGATGTGCCCGCAAATGTCACAGGACGCTGCTCTCCGCCTCTCAGCCGCCGGCCACCACACAGTGCCCCTCCGACTCTTTCTGTGTGTCGACGGCCACGGACCTGATGGCTGGCCCTCCGTGGGGGTCAAAGGAACAGGAAGTCCTCTTGAAGGGACGTGGTCCCCTGTCCACGCGACCCAAATAGGGACCCGGGTCACTGCTCGAAGGTCCTGTCCTCAGCTCCAGACGAGATCACTGCGGTTGGGAACTGTTCGAGATCGGCTAATGTATCCACCAGCCTGCGAGGCACTGGGACGATCCGTGCCACCGGGCATGGGTTCAGACGCGCAGCTTTAACGCACACACCCAAGCAGCAGGCGGGCGAAGGAACAACACAAACCCGAGCATGAGACCGCATAATCTTGGCAGTTTTATCCTAGACTCATTGAAAAGAATGAGTCCCCTCTGACCACCACGATCATCAACCCTGGGAGTCAAAGACTATACAAATCATGGTCTTTTGTCTTGAGGTGACCCGAGAAGGGAGTTCCTTTACTTCAATCGCTCGAAAGATCTTCTTTGGACTTCTAGGGGCCATGATTCGCCATTCTGACACCTCATCTCTGACTCATCTCCGAGGCCCCGGACACCCGATGGGCCTCACACGGGCCGCGCGCGGCGCGCCGCCCCACGGCGCCGAGCCACGGCGCCGCTGGGAACTGCAGGAGGTTCTCCCCCCGCGAGCCCATCATTCCTTGACTCTCGACTCCAGTTTCGATTTCCCACTGGGCTGCCCTGGCCCTTGACCGCTTCTCGGGGCGAGGGCGCCCTTAGAAGTTGTGTGTGAAGGCATCGTCCACTACGGAATCGACTGCTTGAGCGCAGAGCGCGCGACGTTGAGTGCCTGGCCAGGCCCCTTGCTCTCCTTCAGGGAGGACAAGGCCTCACCAGTCTCCTCAGGCGAAGCTCGGACCGACCTCCGAACCGACCGCGGGGGAACGAACGACCGGAACCGAACCGAACCTAGCGTGGCCCCGTTCCAACGCAGGTGCTGTCTGGCTGGACACTCCCCTCAGAGTTTGACCTGGAAGTTCCGTTTTGGTAGGCATATAGTTATATATAAACACTTCATGACCCTCGGAAATTCCTAAAACTGCGGCCTGCTTGTGTTCCATGGTTTCGGAGGCACCGCAGTCCCGCCTTCAAGTCGTTCAAATCGTCAGCCCAGGCAGCTGCAACAACCACCTGCCATGTCAGCTGCACATCCCTCTGCAGCACTGAAACATGAAATAACAACCAAGCAGAAAAACGGAAGAGTGAGTGTAGTCAGCCATCACTGGGAGGCTCTGGAGAAACAAAACTAGACTTACGTAGATCCTAGCAGATCCTTGCTCATTTTCTACGTTCCTGCGATTCTATATAAACAACTTTGGACTTGAAGTGCTGAAGATCCAAAAGTGGCGTGTTCGTGTTTGCTGGGTTCTTCCCTGCTCCAAAACACAACAACACAAAGCCCAGGTCATCCGGTAACGTCCTTCACTTGTCAACTGGGAACCTGGTTTCCGGGTGTCAAACCTTCGAAGGAATGCATGTTCTTCTCCGAATTCAGTTTCTCACCGCGGCCGCGAGTAGCAGCCCCTTCTCTCATCCCAAGAGCTGCATGGTGCAGCCCAACCGGCCGGCCAGCCGCCCTGGGCGAACGCGCACCTTCATGGGCTCCATTGGCTTCAAAGTCTCGTCATATGGCCTGACCGGCTCCCATCCAGGCGCGCCGTGCCCCATCTCTTTGGCTCCCATCAGCTCGGTGGACGTTCGGTTTGGGACCCACGGTGCAACACATGCCCCAAAGCGGGCCAGCGGGTGATGCGGTCTTGACCAATTCAGGGGAAGAAACGGATCCTTGGGAGAAGAGTGCACGAATCATCTGGAGCCTTCTGGAGAATTGCTGCTACGGTGCGCAAAGGCGGAGATATGTGGAGATGTCTAATGAAAAGGACACTTCGAGAAAGATTTGCAATAAGGTGATGATTTCCAAAGAAGGGTATGGAAAAATATTGCGAAGCACTTCAACGACGCATCGTCTTCGGCACAGTCGCCATGTCATCAGGTCTGACTCTGCAGTCGACCTTAGAAGGTCACAATTTGGGACCCCCGATTTGCCTAAACCCAACAGCATCAGAAGCGACTGGGGGCATGCCTGCTACAGAAGTTCTTCAAAATTGGGTCAGCTACGTCTGTCAGGGTGCAGGTCGGGTGAACGGAAATGGGAGTTGGTGGAACCACCATGGGGTGAGCAACATAACATGATGTGGCGGCCAAAGGAAGTCGGTCTCAAAGGCTTAAAGTTTAAAGGCTTGAACTGGAGCCCTGAAAACCCCAACTTCAAAACTCAAAGCCATTTCACAATGCACTATGACAATGTATGTATGCATGTATGTATGTATGTGTATGTGTATATATATATATATGTATATATGTGTATGTGTATGTGTATTTGTATGTATATATGTATGTGTATGTGATTGTATGTGACTGTATGTAATTGTACGAAATTGTATGTATGTGATTGTATGTATGTCTGTCTGTCTGTCTGTCTGTCTGTCTGTCTGTCTGTATGCATGTATGTGATTGTATGTGATTGTATGTATGTGATTGTATGTATGTGAT